GTGCCTTGTCGTGCATCCCATTCTCCACGACTGTCCTCAGGCTCAGGCATCTCTTCTCCACGGGCTGCAAGTGGGTCTCTGCTCCATTGAGTCTGTCCTGGCTGCAGGGGGGGTGCCTGCCGTCTCGCCACCAGTTGCAGGGGAAACGCAGCTCCGGCACACCTCCTACCGTTCCATCTTCACTGACCTGGTGTCAGTGTGGCCGTTTCTCTCAGATCTCAGTTCTCTCTGGGTGAACTCGGCCCGGTGGGCACCGTGGGAGCGGGGCGCTCCCCGAGTTCCCCGGGCAGCGCCAGCCCGGCATGGACAGCCACCTGGCTGGAAGCCGGGAGCGGGTGCAGCGCCCTCCTCCCTTCTCTCCTCTCTCCCAGGCAAAGCACCTTTTCTGGTTTCTTTGTCCAAACTTAAATAGGGCAATTCGCAGAGGCGCTGATTGACTCAACCCCGAGGGGGGTGGGAGTCCAATCTGGTGGCCAGAACTGGGTCTGACCTGGTTCCAAAACCAGGGCACAGGGAGCAAATCCCCTCTCCTGCCACCAGAACCCCTCTGGTACATCAACCCATCTCACTTAAGTAGATGGACTAGATCTATAAAGAGCATTTGAGCATTACAATGCATCTTAATTTCTGGTGTGACATGCTGTGGGAGAGTTGATGAAAGATGGTTTGGAATCCTCAGACCAAAAATGGTATAAATTTGAGCTCAAAACATAGGCTGGAGACTTGTATCAGGAGAGACTCTGTAGTTAATGATAAATTCTTCATATATTGTTGTTAAAATACAGCATTAACTTCAAATGCCTTTCAGTTATTTAAGCACCAGTTTCACTTTCCAAGGGAAGGTATCATGAAAGTATTTGGGTGCTGAACAAATGAAGGCAAAATTTGCTCTTTGCTAATTACACAATTTGTCAGAGTGGGAAAGCCAAAGTTTATTTGCTTTATGAACATGTGAAATTCTAATTTTTGTGCTGATTGCTGAAACTTGCCGGACTACAGTAATACAGCAAACGGAGGCAGTTGGACAGAGTTATCATGTATCTGAGCAGACTTGGTAATGAGCTCGCTTTGCCATACAGTTAGCATTGTCTGCCCTGGTGGGAACTTCTTGCTGCAGTCTCTCAGCCTCTCCTCTCCCATCAAGACTAGCTGGAGTAATGGCCAAAATCTGTGGTTGCTGTTCAGAGATGAGAATAAAAGGAAGAGGACTTGTGCTGGGGAAAAATCTGAAATTCTTTAATTTTTGATGTATTTTATACTAATTGGAGATGTTCACACATTGAAATTCAGATTATCTGTCAATTTGGTGTATCTTGTTTTTTAATTATTTAGCAGTTGCTAAAGAAAGCTTGGAATTGCTTTCGTTTGTTTTTTTTTTTTTTTCTGTTGAATGACATTCAGTATCAATTTTATAAGTGCATCTTGTGTGAAACTCAATAAAATTCAATTTTGTAATATTTGTTTAAAAAATGAAAAGGACAGCGTCAACATTTCTTTCTTAGTGTTCAGAATTGGTGAA